GGGCTTTTCGGGCTCTTGAGATTTCTTCGTGGAGGGAAGACCCATATTTCATTCAGATTTTGCTATTCCCTGCCTAATAGAGAAAGATGCCGGAGAGTTATACAATGAGTAATGTATTGATTTGGTTAACATACTCTCCAAATTGTACTCTCCCTGGGGAGTGATAAACATCTTATAAACAACAATGGAAGTAGATTAAAAAGAACACTGAGCATTGAATTTAATTAAATGCCACTGCTGAACAAGTACTACTTGTTTGTGTGTTGCGAGCGCGTTCAAACTGAAGTACAGCTTGGAGGAATTTGGTTGGGCTCCCAAACCAGTCTGCGTTCCCATGCTTGTCAGTTTGGCAAAGAAATTTGGGCAGGTATGTGACGAGGTGAAAATTGACTTGATGAGCGAGTGGCAAGGAGAGCCATCAATCACGGGGGGCTGACAGCTCCTCCCCAAAGTGTAGGCTGAGAAGAGAGACAGAGTTCCCTTTCAAGGGGAAAAATAAACACTACGTGTGGCTTTCACTGAGCCCGAGACTCCAGGAGGGATTATGGTATTGTAGTCAGGAAGCCAGAATTGTGGAGGCCAAAAAGCATGCTGGGGCTGTGTTCCAAACATTGAGATAGAGGTACATAATTATCCGGCACAGGAGGTCTTTCCAGAGACTCGTCCCCCAGCAACTGTGGCGATTCAGCTATGAAAAGAATTTGGTTGCGTTTCATCTTCATCAGGCTCTGCTTCTTTTGGGAAAGGGCAACCCTCAAACCTTGGGCGCTGTCGTGGTGGTAAAAAGTTGTTTGGCTGCGTGGATGGGTCCAGAGCATTGATTTTTTTTGCTTTGCTGCACCTTTGCAAGCCATGGTTTTGAATTTTCTGCTGCTGTGTGGGTGAAGACTCCCTTCTTTCTGCTGGCAAATGTGTTCAGGTGCAGAAGCTGGCGAGAACCTTCAGGTGAGAAGATGCGTGGTCAAGTAGCCTTGTGCTGTGCTTCAGGACTTAGGATGAGGGTAGGAACTACAAAGATGCTTTCAAAGGTGTTTAATGTAGACTAAAAACAGCTGAAGCAGCTGAAATATAAGTGAAATTATTGCTGTTAAAAAAAAAAGTCTGGAATATATGCTAGCTTTCTGGTATGTTTTCTTTTTGCGAAGTTATGATTAAATTTTTCATTTATATACATAGCCTGTAATCGGAGTTTACAGGATGGTTTCTGGAAATTGAATTAGTGTTACATCCAGCCTGTTAATTAGGTTTCTACCCACTTTACATCTGGATAAACTGAGCTACAGAGCTGTGGCTGTCAGATGGTGAGGTGGGAGGTTGCCCTGGGTGGAAGCATCCAGGAGGGCTCGCTCAGGTCCTCCCCAAACACAGACCCATCCAGATGACAGAGCTCTCCTCAGATCCACACCTGCTCTGCACTTATGTAAAGAAGTGCTCGGTGAGCCCTTCACAAATGTTTGTGCAGCGGTCTGGTGGTGTTTTCACTGGAGGTTTAGTAGTGGCCGCTCGCCTGTGGTCTGGGATGCTCACTTAAATCTCTAAAGGAGGGACAGGGCTTGGGACTGATAGCAGCTGAGGTGAAAAAGCTTGCCCTGAAGTAGCAGGGATTCACCTTAAATGCCATAGATTAATTATTTTCCCCCAGTGCCTTATTTATGTCGGCTGAAGTCTGTTTCTGCTGGCTCCAGAAGTTACTGTGTGTGGCACCCAAGATAAATGGAGCCTCAACAGCGTTTCTGTCCTTAGTGCTGTGAGCTTGGTTGGTGTGCAGCAGGTAGCAGAAGACTAATAAAATCTGAATAAACTTTCTAACGGTTGGCATCATAAAGGGATAATATCCAAAGGACAGGGAGTTTTGAGAAGTTTGCCTTTATGAGTTTGTTTTGTTGTTGTTTGTTTGTTTGTTTTAAAGGGTGAGGGCAGGAGGCAAAAAGATACTTTTATGTTATTCTTCCCCTCAAGATGAGTGCTCTCCAAGCTTCAGTTGGGTTTCATCACCGGCCACATTAGAACAATTGCTGCAGTTACTTGTTTCATCTATTTACTGAGGTTTACCATCTTTTATTTTTGAAGTGGAAAGTCTGGTCTAATTTTCTGGTTGAGCTGTTAAGCCACCTTGTGAGGATGCTCCTCTGACCCTCACCTGGCACCTTGATGTGGTGGCAACAGGGTCCTCTGAGGAGAGTGCCAGGTGACTTTGGTACCGCTTCTCTTCATCAGCCCACGCTTGGATTACCGGCCAACTTCACTTAAATTAGTTTTACTGTGAATAAACCGGACTTTTCTCTTTCCCCTCTGTCTGTAAAATGTATATCAATGAGCATCATTGCGAGAGTGATCGAGAACAGAAACGTGTGTGTACGTGTGAGTCATTTAGTATATATGAATGGAAAATGATGCTGGGGAGGTCTCCTGTGGAACTGCAGTCTATACAGGTTTTAATTGCCTGTAATGCAGTGTAGCTAACTGGGATCCCAGCAAAGACTGGAGCCTTTCGCCTGTGCAGAACTCTCAGGCTTTAGAAGGGCACTGAGCTCTGAGGTAGAAGAAGGTACAGCTATAGGGGAACTGGAAGTCCTCAGGTGAAAGAAAGTTTTATGGATTATCCAAGTGTAGAGAATATTTTTCTACTGTTTTACTTGTGGAAAATTACTGAATTCTTGCAAATTCAGCTGGCTGCAGAACTGCCTCAGTGAAGGAATGAAAAACAAGGCAAACTTACATAAACCTTCAAACAATAACAGGAATATAATTTGTATAATTGTGGTAATTTTGTAGCATTACAGGTTATGTGCCCGCACATGTGTATGTGTCTTGTTTTTTAAAAAAAACCCTGTATATTTTTCTGTCAGTAAAATAACTCTCTGAATATGTGCTGAGAAGTGATTTTGTGTGAAAACAAGGAGGACTTGGTTACACCACAGGTGATGATGGAAACTGCTAACAGAAAATGAAAAGTCACTCACTTTTCACATATTCTTGAAGCTGGAAAACTCTTTTTCCCATCCTCCTCCCCCTCTCACCTCGGCTCTGTTTGGGACTTTCTGAAGCTTTTTGGTTTGCTGTTTTAAGATGGTTTGGCTGACGCTGTGAAATCTCTCTCCTCCCCGCAGCAGCAGCCGTCGTCCCAAGGGAGGAGGCATTGCCCTGGCCGAAGGCACCGCTTTCTCTCCATGCTTCTCTAGAGGAGTTCAGATGGGATTAAAGTCCACATGGAGATATGGGAATGGACCAGGAATTTACTCTAAAAAGATGGTCAGCTGGCATTCGGGTTGCCTTATCTGCCTGGTGGTGGTCACCATGGCTGGACTTTCCCTGGCTCGACCTTCGTTTAATTTAGTTGTTGAAGACGCCACGCTGGAACCTGAAGGTAAATCACTCTCTGATGCTTAATTCCACAAAATAAGCTAATTTTAAATACCTGAAATAGAAGGCAAGTAACAGATTAGCCCTCAAGACTTATGTTTTTATGGACTTTTCTTGCTCACATGGGCTGTGTTCGTGCAAGCACGTGTTGGTTTAGTCTTATGCAAGTGGTGTCAGTGATTTCATTTGGGACTGTCATCGTGTTGTATAATCAAAGTGTACAGGTGAAAGTTTTTGGGAACGGGTCTTTAAGGAAACCGGTCTGCTGCCCTTATGCACGTGTTGCACGTTGCTGCCTGGAGAAATGAAATGCCTGCGTGTCTTTGTGAATCTCCTCACCTGAGAAGTCTGGAGCAAAAGAAATCCTGATAGTTTTTTAATCGCGTGGCCTGAATGGTTAATTTTGCCAGGCACTCTGCAAAGATGGTGTTGCGGCTTGAGTGGTGCTTGTGCTTGGAATACATTTCCCTGTTGTTGTTAATATCTGAGAACAGTCGGTACGGTGTCTGGATTGCAATTTTGGAAGTGTAAATGTTGAGATCCAAATAGCAAGGACTGCAGTTTATTGCAGTGAAAGCAAAGGCTAACTGAAACCTTTACATTGGAAGAGGTGCTTTGATAAAATCTCCTATTTTAAGCCTGCACCTGTTGGTATGTTCTTGTAGGTATATCCCTTCCTCAAGCTTTGCAAGGTGGTTTTCTTCTCTAAAGAGTGCCTGTGTTTTATTGTATTGTATTTAAGAATGTTTTTACTGTATTGTATGGGATCCTTCCACCTCTCTAAAGACCTCAGAGACCTTCCTTCATAAGGTTTTCCCTGTCCTTCGGAGAAATAATTAAGTTTCTGATAACTGTCAAAGCAATATGATAGTCCATAGAGCATTTCTGATCCAGCGAGCTTAGTGGAGAGAATTTGGCCTTCACGCACTCTACTACTGATGTCCATGGACACATTTTGTTTTTATTTGATACATTTTCATGCAAAACTTATTTGTTTCTATTTACTGCCTCTAAAAATAGACGTCACCAGCTAACGCATTTTTAGGATCTGTTCCAAGTACATTTTTATTGATGGCTGGGGATGAACTATTTAGAGGCGATGAGCCCTCCTCCCTACCAAGCATTCCTGAAAAAAATTAAAGTGTGGCAATATTGTCATCTGTCAGCCACAGAGATTGTTGATAGCAAAGACTTCGGGTTTTTTTTCCTTTTGAAGGTAACTTGAGAATTAAAACAAAGCCCAACTCTCATCACTACTTGCTGTATGATTTCTTAATTGCCCATCTGGTGCCTTTTTGGCTTTTCAGAGGAATGACAAAATCATAAATAATTCTGGATTCAGATTAGCTGTTTGTAGTGAGGTCCCCTAGTTTTAGGGTTAAATCAGAAAGAATGTGATTGCATGATTGGTGAAGCATTGGAGAGGGACAAGAGTAACATTTCTTTGATTGATGCCTGATAATTTTTCAGCTTTTCAGGGAAATAATAGCTTTTATTATTTTTCAAAGTGCAGTTTGAAAACACATTTCTTCCATGGTGAATATCCAGTGGAATCTGTGTTTTATCAAAGTGTAAATTGTTAAACAGGATTTAAAACTTCTTCCCTGGGCAGGAAAGTTATTGACATGAAACAATTTTAGATGTCAGAACTCGAATCATTACCAGAAAGGAGAAAAAAAACACACTTCTAAGTTAATGGTATAATAAGAGCTTTTATGCTGCAGAATACAGGGAATTGTGTGGGATTTATATCTGAGATTTGGGAAATAAAACCTCCTTTATGTACTTCCTTAAACCTCTTTTTAAAAAAAAAACAACAACTTTTTACACAATCACCTTCTCTGGGTTCCATCACTGCCACCCACAAGCTCTCCAAGCCAAAATAAAACAAAAAAACCCTTCAAAAAAGACAAAGCAGACTTCTTTTTTAATTTAGTAAATGCCAAACATTTTGACCACAGCTAATCTGGGGGTCAGGTGCTCCAATAATGTAAGTTTTCGGCAGGGCTGCTGACTGTGCAGTCATTAGAGCGATGACATTTCGTACCAGCTGAGAAGGTCGCCAGGGCCATGACCTTTAGTGACATGTGTTGAGCTGTTCCTCAGCCTTCCTTCATGGACATGCCCTAAATTTTGTCTTTTTTGTGACGTTAGGTGCTTCTGTTGTTACTATTTATTGTCTTAGTGACTCAGAATATTCAAAAAAGCTGTATGCAACAGGAATTGAGATTGTGGGTTGTATTTCCTTTGATTGTAATAGCTAAGAGACAAGAATATATTCTCTAAACATAATTTTAGGGAAATTTGCAACTGTTTCTTCAGAGTATCTGGTCAAGTATGGACTTTAGTAATAAACTAAATCAACTAATCCACTGCGTGGATATGTGTGAAACCTTGTTACGAGTCCAGGAGCTTTAATTTTGGTTACTCACAGTCAATCTCGCCTCTTTGCCTTGCTTCTCTTGGGCGCTTTTATAAAACCTTGGACTTGTTGAGCTCTAAATCTCATCTGTGCCCGTTGGATATTGCTCACATGAAAGTATTTACACTGAAGATGGTATCTTGAACCGTTGTAAATTCTGATGTCAATGTTGATGTCATGAGCAGGGGTCAGTACCCGTTGTGGTGCTTTCATCCTTAAGCGGTGATGGCAGAATTGGCTGTTGAGCAGAAACAGGAGCTGCAGGAGTTTGTTTGGGCACTGTCAACTGTTGAATTATACCTCGCATCAAGTGTTTACGTGTATGTTTTTTATCCTAGGCAGCATAAAGACTTTCTGCTTTTAAATATTTAGAAATAAGCCTACCCCAGCGTGTATAAAGGAGCCATTCTCTTTCTGTGTACCGAGGCCGTGAAGGCCTTTGATAATAGCCAACATTTCAAAAGGGCTCTGACCGCACACATGGGTTGAAGGGTTACTTTGTGAACTGAATAATTAGTTTAGACATATATTTGATAAATAGCAAGCTCTCCCTTGACCTTCCCTTGCCCAGGCTGTGTGTTATCGTTCTGCTGGGTGGCTAATTTGGTCTTTCCCCCCACTATGCAATGCCTTGACGCTGTCCTTGGAGCACCCAGTTGGAGCCCTCGCCTGGTGCAATAACAGCGTGTTTCAGTTCTTTTAATTTAGGTCAAATTTCAAAGGACTAATTTAAGCTTTCCACAAGGGACAGCCTAATTCTGCCTCCTGTGAAAAACAGTAGTTACAAATGGCCTTAAATGTGCATTTGGGAGGTTCCTATGAGCAGCAGTGAAGAAGAGGCCTTCTTTGATGGGTGACGTACGCTTTGCTGGGCTCCAAAGTGAGTAAAGATTTGTCATTTGGGTTTTAACTCGATCACAGCTCTTTGCTGGTACCAAACAACAGCCAAATATAAACACATTTTGCGCAATACCTTCTTTTTTGTAAAAGTTGTTGTGTAATATGAGCAATATACCTTCATTTTTGTAAAAATATTGACAGTGCTTAAAGACTGGTCACCTGTGATCCCAAGGTTAATGTTCCCTGTGGTCTTGGTAGTCAGTAAAGTCCACGCTGAGACCCTTCATTAACCACCATGACCTGCCTGGATCAGGATGTGGGATCTTTTGAGGTCCTTAGGCTCCCAGGGCTGCAGCGTATGGAGGAGGGATGCTGCGGTGGTGGGATGTCCCCTGGCTCATCCTGGGGTGCCCCCATGGGTCCTCTCCATTCTGGTGCCACCCTGCTGTGGGGTTAGGACCCTGCCCAGTGGTCGTGTTCCTGAGGCAAAAGTGGCAGAGAAGCACCAGGATGTGGCTTCCAATTTGGTTGGAAAAATAAAGCAAAACGTTCACCTAAGGTTCTCCTGTGTTCCCCTCCTTTTTTTTTTAGTGCCGTTGCCTTTAATATCTACGAGTTATGATTAACAATTCAAACTGAGTAGTTAAATTAAAGTTTTTAAATTTTATTTATTTATTTTTTTAAGAAAGGGCAATTATCCCAGCCCATTATGGAGGAATGTGACATCCTCACAGCTCCGGGTGAGGGCTGGGTGCCCTTCCAGGGATCTGGTTCAGTAAGTTATTTGGCCCAGTGCAGGAATGGCTAGCTGGGATTTGGGGGAATTGGACAAGCAGCCAGATTAAATCAGTCTTAATGTGTCCATTCTGCCTTTAAAATCCGCAATCCTTTAGCAGGGGCATGGTCTTGAGCTGCCGACTAATTGGGCAGGGGCAGGGCTGTTATTTACAGTCGGCGTTGATGAGACACTGGGAGCTGGTAATGTGTCAGCGTGGCGACTTTTGCAGAGTAGCACAAATAATTGCACATTTCAGGCCTGTTTGCCATCTTTTACAATTGCAGCTTTTTGAAGGAAGTGAGGGAAAATGTTAACTTTTAGGAATTTGATTCCTTTACTGATTTATTTTTTTTTTGTTAATAGAGCCAAAATATTTTCAAGGATGCTGAGTTGTGGGTTTTTAAATTTTTTTTAACTTATTTTTTAAAACTACTTGTATAGATGCAACCCCAAACCAGCCACCAACTCCAATGGTTGCATAGTTTTCTAATCTTAAAATAGTTCTTCCTTCGCAGAGAACTTACAGATTTCAGGCTATAGTAACTTTTTTTTACGGGCGAGTTACAAACTTTCAAAAGCAGAATTTACAATGACAGTGCTGGCAACTGCAGTTCTGCAAGGCTGTGTACATGAGACGATGGACTGTTGTGGTGTTTTAATAACCTTAGTATAGCTCTTAACAAACATATGAGTTTATATCCAGCTTCCCAGCTTCAGTAGAAATGAGCACTTGCCTTTATACAAGTATATTTTAAAAATCAGTATTTTATTATTATGCTTTATTAGTATTTTATTATATTGTGAGAAAAATACTTAACTGTCACTTTTTGGATCATTAATAGAGAAAAATTCCTTACTACAGGGGTCAGACTTTTAAGTGTTAAACATTTGTGAGTCCTCAAGATTGAGGCTTTACAGTGAAAAGAGACTTTCTTCAGAGCAGCACACCTTAGCAATATAAATC